GAAGTGTTCCTGTTTTAATGTCCTGAGCAATATCAGCCATATAGCAGTGTCATGGAGTGGGTAAGAAGAAGGTTCAGAGCCGGGCGGTGGTGGCGCACGCCTTTAATCCCAGCACTTGGGAGGCAGAGCCAGGCAGATCTCTGTGAGTTCGAGGCCAGCCTGGGCTACCAAGTGAGTCCCAGGAAAGGCGCAAAGCTACATAGAGAAACCCTGTCTCGAAATACCAAAAAAAAAAAAAAAAGAAAGAAAGAAAGAAAGAAAGAAACATGGTATCTAGAGCTGGGTGGTGCAGGTATGAGTCCTGACTTGACTTCTTAGAGTTCAATTACCCCATGTCTTAACTTCCTTTCATCTGGGATAAGTGTCTGTGTCCCAGGTTTGTAGAGAAAATAAAGGGAGATAGATGTCAGGCTCTGAGAGTTTCTCAGCACAGGGCCTGGCATAAGGCAAAAGGGTTTCTTCAGAGGTTGTCGTTATTGTCCTCTAGTTACCAGAGTCTAGTGGGAAAGTGACATATCTTCCTGCAAGCCTCAGTCACCCTGCCTACTCTCCCTTCTCCCTACATGCAGAACGACCTCCCAGTCATAAAGGCGCTGATGGGTTCCTTCATCTGCCGTTTCTCAACCTAGCAGTTACAAGTAGGCGTCACCATGGGCCTTCAGAGAAGGAAAGAGATAGGAGAGGCACTCTTTCCCAGCAAGCAAGTAGATCATAACCTGCCAAGTGGAAGCTTTGTCACTGTGCATGGGTTGCCTCCCCCCACTCTTCAAACATACTCCAATTCTTTCTGCCGGGTGTGGGGCCGGGCAGCCAGGTCGAAGGAGCAAGACACATGCTCGCTCTCGTGGACTTCAGAGTCTAGTGAGGTAGCTGAATGAGGACTCAACAGAGCAATGCCTGGGGACTGTTAGGACACGCGTGAGAACATCGTGGGGGATGGTTCAAGGACTCAGCAGCAGCTTCTGGAAGCTTGTGAGTTACATTTCACCCTGGAGCCTCCAAACCCCCTTGGATCCTGAACCTGCACTGTAAAAGGATCCTCAGTGGCATGAGTGGTGTGTGTGTGTGTGTGTGTGTGTGTGTGTGTGTGTGTGTAGCAAGTAGTTTAAGAGTCATTCCAGCTGCTGGACAGTGGTGCTGCCTCTGGGCAGGAGGCTTAGTCACCCTGAGTCTCATGGTGCTCTCATGTTGGACAAGGAAGGAAGGGAGGGGCAGAGGAAGGAAGCGGGGAGGGAAAGAGGGAGGAAGAAGAGCCATTAGTAACATCTGCTTTGTGTATCATGTCTATACAATGGATATTAAATGATGTATATCATGCATGTACCGTAGATATTAAACATTGTATAAATCATGCGCATACCATGAATATTAAATGGACTAGGCTGCAACTTACGTGAAACCAAGCAACAGACTGTAGTCATTGATAAAGAGCTGGAGATTGCTCAGTGGTTGAATCGCATCCTAGGCAAGCATCCATCGAGACAGGAGTTGGGATCCCTGGAACCCACATAAATGCCAGGTGGGTGTGGCACCTGTAATTACAGCCTTGGAAAGTGGAGACGGGATCCCCAGAGTGAGCTGGCTGGCCAGACTAGCCGTATCAGCGAGCTCTGGTTTTGACTGAGAGACCCTGCCTCAATGAATAGGGTGA